AAAGACTGTAGGAGGGCAGCTTACTCCTCGACAGCAGTCAAAAGGGAATAGTGAACTCTTCTGCCAGCTCAGTGCCTTTTTGTGAGGCTCTCGTGAAATAATGCATGCAGAGTAAAAACTGGGAAAGACTGTAGGAGGGCAGCTTACTCCTCGACAGGGCTCTGCCTTAATCCCAGTGAGTAAGGCCCCTTGATGGCAGAGATGGAGGGAAGAGCTCCAGCATAGAGCCATGGAGGTGAGTGCTTGTATAGCCTGGAGAGGCACAGGTCTGGGGTGCAGGAGAGGTGTGGTGCTGGGCACCCCCTCCTCATGCTGGCACCTCATTTATACTGAGTCGAGTCATTCTCCGCTCAAGCCCTTGGGGAAGGTGGTGGACCACCTGTGCACCTGCCGTGCAGGGCAGGTGAATACGCATGGGGCTCCTGGGGGAATGCGTCTCAGCCTGGGCTGCGGCCCTCCCTTGGAGACCAGGCAGATGTATGGGCCTCCCGTTGCCAAAGTCAGGACCCGCCACACTGTGGAGCCCCCTTCTATCTTCTCGAACTCTCCACTCCCCACCCCAGGTGCTGTTTGAGGCATCCCCAGACCCCAGCCTTCTAGGGACGAGCCCCTGTTTTGACCCAGCGTTGCACTGAGGGCTGTGGGAAGAGTTCACGCAGCAGACACAAGTTCTGCCGTTGTCCCAGAACTGGCCACTGCATTCCCCAGCTGCGTGCCCTGAGTAACCCACCAGTGCAGGCCTAGGGAGAGACTGGACCTGGCCTCTGTTAGAGGGCCAGCCCTAGGACAGGAAGGGAGCTGGCACAAAAATTTCACACCCTTTTTACACTCTTTGTATGACACTGATGATCAACTCCCTTAGGATGCAGATCTAGGAAAGATTTTTCTTTGCTGAAGACAAAGAGAGCTGTGTGAGCTGTTCCTGCTTAGTTATCGCCTTGGTTCTCAGGAAGCTCAGTGCAAAATCAGAGCTCACATGTAGTCCCTATTATTCTGGGTAGCTCCCACATCTGCCGTACTCTACTACACACGTACTCAGTTATTGGGGTGGAGAGCCTCACTGAACACTCAGAATATGCGTGGCACTGTGCTGGATGCTGGGGATGCAGGGGTGGTCAAGACAAGAAGACAAGGGCCTGGCCCTCTAAGTGCTCGCAGCCAGGAAGGATGCACCCAGAGGCAAACAGTTACAAAACGTAGATGTGAGTGCAGTAGTGAAGTGGGCACAGGGAGAAGAGAGAGGGCAATCCGACTGAAGATGGAGGGGATTGATGTGCAGAGAGGTGGCCAGCAGGGCTGCCTGGAGGAGGCAGCACTAGAAGGATGTGTAGGTGTGTGTGCCAGGTAGAAGATAAGACGCTCAGTGAAATGTGCATTTCAGATAAGCAATGAATAATTTATAGTACAACTAGGTCCCATGCAATATTTGGGACATACTTATCCCCCAAATTATTTTTTGTTTATTTGGAATTCAAATTTTACTGGGCTTCTGCATTTCTACTTGCTAATCTGGGAACCCTATGAGTTGGAGTTTGTGCAAAGGCGATGAAGGGCATTACAGAGAGGGAGAAGAGCATGTGCAAACAGCGCTTGCAAAGGATGGGAAGCAGGAAGCTGTTGGGTTGGGAGAGTGCAGGTATGTCCCTGAGACTGGTGACGGTATGGAGGGGGTGGGGGGGCACGGTGAATCTGGAGAGACCATGGCGGGCAGGATCTCGACCTGCTGCTGGGGTCTGGGCTTTCTCCTATGGAAAACCAAAGAGTCTGTGAGGGTTTAAATCAGAGAAATAGCCAATTAGATATTTTTGTTTCTGTTTTTAAGTCATGTTAAAAATATGCCTTTTATTTTTAGTTCTCTCCTTTCTGGAAGGTGGTGTATAAAGCTACAGTTTATATATTTATAAGTAAATAAATATGAGGGGGTCTTTAAAAAGTTCATGGAAAAAGTGCATTATGAAAAAGCTATGCATGGGCTGGCCCGGTGACACACTGCTACAGTGCACCGCTTGGGAGCACGGGGGCGCTCCCGCCCAGGGTTCAGATCCCACATACAGACTGGTTCCCGCTCACTGGCTGAGCGAGGTGCGGGTGCGGCACCGAG